GGGTGCCTCGGCGCGTTTCTAGGCGGCCAAAGGATTGGGGGGCCGGTTCCAACCCAGAAGCATGCCCCCCAGCGGCGCGCTAGAGAAACGATGTTATGTCATGCGAAATGTTTGCAAGCGCTGGCGACGAGCTGCTTCGCGCTGCCTCTGCGGCCCCGCCGGGGCCCGCGAGCGCCGGGGCTGCGCGCCGCGCCGGCAAGCGCGCGGCCAGCAGTCAACCGTGCCTGCGCTGCCAGCGCCACGAGTTCAAGGTTGGACGTCCACCAGCTTCTAAAGCCATCGCGGCCGGCGGATCGCTGCGCCATAAGCAGCGCCCAGGCTCTTCCACAGACCATGCTCCGCGCGCCCCCAGGAAACGTTGCTCCCAGATCGCCGCCGACGTCTGATGATGGCGCCGCGGCAAGGGCGCCCGCGGGCAACAGTCCTGGTCGGCTGCCCGCTGATCGCGGCACGCCCACTCCCCGCGCCAAATGGCCCAAAAATGGTGGCGACCCCTGTCAGGGCCCCGACGTCGCGGGCAGCCCCGCGGGCGGGCGACCCCATCGAAGACTCCGGCGGGGGGGGGCCCTCTCCTTCAGACATGGGTGCCCTGCAGCCCCCGGCATCGTCAGAACTGCGCGAGGCAGCGAATGGCCAACCAGCGTCGTTTGCACTTTCTGGGTCGCGCGCGCCACGCAGCTGCTCTGCGTCGCCATGGGGCGCAAAGGGGAAGGCTACCCAGGAATGGATGCGGGTCTGCGTCGCCCATCGACTTCCCCTGCCAAAAGGAGGCCTGCGATCTCTGCCGCATGGCCATTCGAACTACGTGACGTACCAGGTCTTACGAGAGACGAACCTTCGCCAGGCCGCGCCCGCCCGCTGCCCCCGCCAACCGGGGCCGCCCCGCGCGCGAGAACGAGCGACAGCAGCCGCGCGCCACTGGACCGCCGCCGCCACCGCCACAAGCCCCGCCGAACGCGAGCACGCCCGCCCCGATCAGGGACGGGGATGCCGCAGAGAACCGGCGACGCAGAAGACGCCCGGCGACGAGTCGATTGAACAGGACTTGTTCCGCAGGGCCGTCGATTGTGATCCACGTCTCTCCTCTTCGAAGCCGCGAACGGCCCGGCCGCGGGCAAGAACCTCGCGGCGCCAGCTATTCAAAAAAACTGGCCACCTATCGCCAACTTGACCCTCATCGCTGCCAACGTATGTCTCGTCTCAGGGGGCGTGCCTCGCGATCGCGACCCTGGCCCAGGCGAAACGGCGGCCCCCGTTGCGATGATGGGCCGAGCGCGCGCGCGCGGTCATCCGACCAGCGTTCTCGCGCTCTCGCGGCTGCGAATGCCGCGCGGGAAATTCTCGCTGGCGTCGTCGCCAAAGCAGATGCCGCGCGGGGCCCCGCCGCGTCTCTGCCTGCCCCTCGAGGTCCACGCCAACAAGGCGCCCCGGCCCAGACGAACCCAGGCCGATTCCACGCGGACACCCGCGCAATTATCCGACTCGCGATCGACGCGCGGGAAGTCATCGCGCCGCGCTGCATGGGGCCACGTCGACGCGACCGCTCCCAATATGGGCGCCTCCGACGCGGAGTGCCTCGCGGACATCTGCTCGAACCTCGCGCCCCACGCTGGGCGCCCTGAACATCGCGCAGGCGAGGCGCCGCGTCTATGCCAGCGCGACCGGGTGCGCCCGCATGGGAGGCGCGCCTACAATGCGCCCATGGAGTGCGCCAGCGGGCGCTTCCAAGATAGCTCGTTCTCACTCGACGACATCAAACTTCCCATGTGCGTTCGGGCTCGGCGGCAGCGCGCGCGCATCCCGCGGTCGCTCAGCGCCGCGATCGTCGACGGTAGCAGTTCCGCCGCTCCTCGCTCGACCGCGCAGTTCTGATTGACGAGCTGTCTGGTCAGGAAGATCACCCTGGAAAGATCTGCGTTTCGGCCCTGGGGGGAGCTCCAACGCCGGGGGGCCGCTCTTCACCTCGAGCAGCACCCGACCACTACTCACCGCCAGGTGAAACTCGCAGGCAACAACATCAACGCGGCGCAGGAGGTCGACGGCCCCCGCGTGCGCCCCGAAGCAAGCCACGGCGACCCCGGGCGGCTGAGAGTGGGCGATCAAGTGGCCCCCGCGAAGTGGGTGGGCGCCTCACTGGGGGCATTCAGTCGAGAGCCCGTGCGGACCGGTCGCTCATGGCCAGCATGCGCGCCACTGGTGCGAGCATCACGGCGCCTGGCGACAAGGCGCGAAACCCGTGCGACAACGTCGCGTTCGCTGCCATCGGGCCCGCGAGGCGACGCTGGATCCCGCGCTGTCCTGGGCCATCGTAGTTATGTGCCGCGCGCTCGAGCTCTTCGCCGTCGCGCAATGGGGCCCAGAAGGCATGTGCGGCGAGACGCTGGTCTCACTGCCGAAACCGAGGAACTACATGGAACAACCGCGCACAATGTTTCCACGGGGGCAGGACCGTCGGCAGAGCCAAGCAAACCCATGCCCAACTCGAACGGGCATGGGCCGAGATTGCCGCCATGCGCGACGACTGGGGCGCTGCATGCACGACGACTGGGGCGCCATGCGCGTGCAACGGAGAGCATTCCTCCGCCGCGCCCTCAGCGCCAGGCGCGACTTTGACGCCTTCGCTGCTGTCGAGCAGAGCATTAACTGCTTCGCCGAGCCTGGGGCCCCTGTCCAACCAAAGGGAAAGCCGAACGCACTGCCTGTAAGTACCTCGGCGGGGCGACCACGCCAGTTAAGGAAAAGGAAGGCTGGCACATCGGCCAGCCCATCTCCATCGTCCAGATGGCGCAGCAAATAAGGGAACACAAGGGCATGCTGCGCGGAACTGCCCCTGCTGGAGGACCGAGAGGCCCGGCGTCGAAGCCACCATCGCTGAACAACAATGCCAATGCCTCCCACCATGCACCCGACAGCGGGCTGCTGGAAAAAAAACCCGGCATGTTTGACCCACGCTCCGCCCCGGCCGAGGACGGCCCTCCGCATCCCATCCCGTGACCGCCGCGAGAAGACTCAGCGAGGAGACCGCCGCGAGAAGACTGTGGGCAAGGAAACAGTGTTTCCTTGCCCACACCGACGACCAGAGAGCCCACTTGGTCGTTGCTGCCACGGACGGCGCCTGCTCCCGCCAAACCCACCCTATCCCGGGCAGAGCGGGTTTGGGCGTGTACCACGGTCCAAACCGCAGGCTAAACCATCTGGCCCGCGTGCGCGGTTTGGCACAGTCTGCGCATCGGGCCGAAACGCTTCCCATGTTCCACCTTGTCGTCAAAACTGAAAACCTGGCGCGTGTGTTGGTGGATTAGCAAGCGGTGGGTGACGGTTTCCAACTACTTCTTAAAAGGCAAGCCGCCGCAAAGCTATGGGGCCCCAAGCGGACCTCTGGCAGAACATGAAAAGGGAATGTTTGGCGAAATTGGGCTTGTTGAGAATCCGAAAGATGGGGGGTCACCTGGAGGAGCAAAGGATCAACGAATGTGCATCACTCCCGCCGCGTAAGTTGTCCATGATCAGCGTGGGGGCACGCCTCCACAGTGTCTCACAATGCCAGGTCGACGCTTCCAGATGGCGAAGCAAGATTGCCAGTCCTTCATAGCGCCGCCGTCGCCATATACAACCAGCGACAACGGACGCTTCCAGTGCCTCGCAGTAGAGCCGTGCCTGACACCGAAGCCGCACAACATCGGGCAGAGAGGGGGGGCGCAACAAAACACAAAGCCTCAAGGAGGACTACCTCCGCCGGGCGGTCCACCAAGCTCCCGCCGCTTGAACGAAATCGACGTCCCTTGGCGGCCACCACTGGACGACAACGCAGAGGAGGATTTCGACCTTCTCGGGCTCGGAGCATCGCTAGCGAATGACCCTCTCTACAAATACATTACTTGGGCACCGAACGCTCTCCCGAGCCCGCATCCCCATTCGTCCCACCAAGGGGTGGGCGTGAGGCTAGGCAGCGGCACCACCGACACCACTGGCACCACCCAACGTAGGGACCGCAGGCGAACCTTAACAAAACGGCTGGCGCTTTCCGTCCAGTGAACCCAAGAACACGTAGCTCCGCTGCTCGACAAATTCAAACAAGCGCACTAGGCCTGCAGAGGACTGCAACCGGTATTTTGGCCTGCAGTGGCCCTGGGGGCGTCCTTCCGCGGTAACCTCCAAACTTTCATCGACGTTCAATGTGCGGAGTGCCAGCGCCCCTCTCCATCACTTGGCCACGCTAACCCTTGGCACCTGCTCCGCCGTCTGGTCTCTTGGGCCGCTGCAGGGGATGCCCCAAGGCGGTGCCGCTCACTGCCCCCATGCCCCGCATCGCGCATGCCAGCGCGCGTATAGAAGCGGAGCGTCTGACTTGCCTGGCCACCAGATGCCCGCCTTGCTTTCCAGACGGGACCCCCTGTAGGGCGCGCCGCGGAGGGTCATTCCACCACTCCTGGTTCGTACGCGGTACCTCCCGTACAGTGCGGTAGGTTTGCGAGGTACGTGTAGCCCTGGGGCCTGGACAGACCTGCTGGCCGAAGTGGTGCGCTCTCCCTCACGCAATATTCCCTCCTTCCTGTTCCTTCCTGCTCCTCCTCCTCCTCCTCCTCCTCCTCCTCCACCTCCTCCCCTCTTCCATCCGATGTCGCTTGCATTTCCATCTTCGCTTTCTCCGGGCTCTCAGGGGTCTTTGAGACGGCGTGCGCGGGTCGTCTGGGGTCGATGGGGACATCCCATCGCTGGAGTCTCCGGGGCCGTTCTGAAAGGGTGTCCTGAGAAACCCAAGCAGGAGGAGGGGCAAAGAGGAGGGAGGAGATGAATCTGAAGACGAAACACGAAAAGTAGCCTGATATCAGAGGCGCGACCTTGCCAGGTGCTGTCTCCCTGGGGTCTCGCAACACTCATCCCCACCTGGAGTGATTTTGCTGCGATGGTGACAGAGCTACCTTACCCTGTCCCTGTGCGGGGGAAAGGGATCGAGGAGGCCTGGAACCCCATGGCGCCCTCTGGACTGGGGGTCCTGCCTGGCGGCGCCCCCACCGTCTCCCTCCCGCTGGCATGGCCAACCGCACCAGGCTCCACGGGTCGTTCGGCTGCTCCTCCTGAAGAGCAGGAGAGCCAAAGGAAGGGAAAGGATGAGGAGAAAAGGAGGACAGGGGAGAAGAGGAGGGTAAGAAGGAACGCAGAATACGTGGTCGAGGAGGGGAGGAAGGAGGGGCGAAAGGATGGGCGAAACAATCCCTTTCAACCGCAGCGAACGTCTCTCCGATCTTGTTTGTTCCATCCTTCTCCCCCTTGATTCTCCCTTCTCCGCTCTTCTCTCCCTCTCTCTCCCTCTATATCTGACGTTCTCTCTCTCTCTCTCTCTTTTGTCTGACATGTTCTCTCTCTCCCACTCTCGCTCGCATTGTTATCTCTCTCTCTCTCTCTCTCGTCTCCCTTCTTCCACCCTCTCGAGACCCGCGAGTTCGAAATCTGTGACGACCGCTGCGCCAACTTGGACACTGTGGAAAGAACATGCTGAGAGTTGGAGTGGCACCATTCGCATGAGCGTTTCGCTCCACACCCCCCCTTCTCGAGCCGTAGCGGAAGCCCACGGCGCCCGATCGAGCCCGATGCGCGCCGCCCATGCCTGCCTGGGCCAGGCACGGGCGGGCGGCTGCGTGCGATCACGAGAGCCGCCCGTCGCACGTGAACGTTTCTTGCACCGTTCGACGAGGCCCAGCCAGTGCACAGTGATCTCGCGGCGACAGGGGCGAGTGGCCCATGGGCTGGCTGGGCATTGCGCGCGCTCGCCTGGGAGCCTCGTCGGAAAGATGGGCGACGGGAGCCCCTGGATGCCTGTTTTTGAGGGGCCACGGTAGGGGGGGACCGCCTCAGGGGGGAACCATCGAGCTGGAATCGGCGATGCATCGCCGATGTGTGGATCGGCGAAGGTCCCCCAGCAGCGCATCCGCACGGACGATCTGGGCACCTTGGGCGCCGCCGCCCTTCGGCGAGGCGCAGCTGCTGGAGAGCCTCCGCAGGCCGGGAAGCCACGAGAACGCCCGAACACCTGAAACCTCGAACGAAGGATTGCAAAAAAACCCAGGATTGCAAAAAAAGGATTGCAATCCGGGTTTTTTTGCAATCCTTTGTTTGCAATCTTTTTTTTGCAATCCTTCGGTTTTTTTGCAATCCTGGGTTTTTTTGCAATCCTGGGTTTTTTGCGAGCCTATCTCCCCCTGATGCTGCTCCTGCGTACTGCCTGCCCCCCCCTGGCTCAGCGCCTCTGGTGCAGCGTTGCCGAGCGACTGCGCGCCGAGCCGGTGGCTCTGCTCTCCGAGTGGGCAAGGCCGCCTGGGCGTGGCAGACACTGCAGCGCCGGCGGCCGCCGACCTTCGGTGTCCCGAGCGTTCGTCGGCAGGGGGGCACTAAGCTCCAAGAAGCCGACCCTGTAGGCCTCCGAACGGCTCCCAGAAAGCCCCGTCACGGACACGGAGGAGGAGGAGGACGAGCCAATGCCAACGGCACGCAGGCCACGTGTCAACAGGAAGTGGTAACCAATACGCATACAACATCGAAAAAAACCCACGTGACCTCTTCTGGGAGTCGGTGGACTGGCGTAAGCCTCTTGGATACATGGGGAGGAAAAAACCGCACAGTTCCAAGAGCGCGTTTCTTCATTTTCGGCGATCGCGGGCGTCATATGGGGGCGGGGGCGGGGGGGTATGACGTAACGCCGTGTGGCTCGGGCACCACACCCGCGCCCGCGCGCACGGCGGCGATGAGCGACGAGCGACGAGCGAGGAGCGAGCAGCGACGAGCGACGACGACGACGACGACGACAACGACGACGACGAGGGGGGTAGGTGAAATGGTAGCGCTTCCGCGTGCACCACAACGCCTGCGCGCACGAGCAGCGACCGGGGACCACGAGCCACGACCAGTTCGGTACCGTCTGCGTGCACCACAGTGCCTGTGCGCACCACATGGCCTGCGTGCACCTCTAGGACCCTATGGGGTCCCGACGGGAACAGATGCAAGAAAATCGTGGGGGCGGCCGATATTGTCAGATTCAATCTGTGAATTAAAGGAGGGGGAGAGAAGGAGGAGGAGGAGAAGGATGAAGAGGAGGAGGAGGAGGAGGAGGAGGAGGAGGTGAGGGAGGAGGAGGAGGAGGAGGAATAGTTTTCACCGGGAACACATCATCAACATGTCTGATCCCTATGCGGATCCCAATGCGGGTCCCTATGCGAATCCATATGCGGATCCCTAGGCGGATGGATCCCTGCGCGGATTCCTATGCAGATCCTTATGCGGATCCCGATGCGGATGCCTATGCGGATGCCCATGTAAATCCCTATGCGAATCCCTAAGCGGATCCTTACGCGGATCCCAGTACGGATCCCTATGCGGATGCGCATGCGCATTCCTATGCTGATCCCCATGAGATGCCCGACGTGGACCAGACTCCTATGCGGTTTCCTATGCGGACGCCTGTGCGGATCCCGATGCGCAAGGCGGCAGCGCCCAGATCGCACTGGGGGGGTGGAGGGGTGGTCGTTACGTGATGAGGGAGGGGCTCGGGGGAACCGGGGGCTATAACGCCCGTTATGCCCCAAGAAATAACAAAAAACACGCTCCAACACCGTCTGGGCCTGCGGGGTAAAATGGAGGGGCAGCCTGGCCGCGTGCAAGTGAGCCGTACGACGGGGACTCTGACAAGCCAAGACGTCTGCTACGACCCAGAAGGCGGCGACCGCGAGCCGAAACCTGTTCCGTCCATTGCTTTCCCGCGCCGTGTCTTTCAGAGTCATGGTTTCGGGGACGCGCTGGTCTGGGCCAACGCTCGGTGGCCTGGGTCGGCAAAGGCCGTGTCCCGAACCCAGGCCAGCCACGAAGCAGCTCCAAAACCCGGGTCGTCGGAGGGAGGGCAGATGAAGGAAGGGGGGATCGGCTCTGCATGGCCCCGAACAAACACCAGAGGGTGTCGGCATTGGTGCTTTCACGTGAATCGCAGTCGAACGCCTACTTCCGCACTTCAAGCTACTGTGCTGTGTCCGTTGGTTCTTCGGCGGGACCTCGACATTGAGGGCAGCTGAAGAGGTATTCATTGTTGATGTCTGGCCTCGCAGTGACAACGCGGAAGAGTTTACAATCACGAGCCAGCTAGATGGGATGGGAGGAGATTTGTTGATCCCCGTTGCACAAGCCCATGGAAGAGATCGCGCCTAGACGACACATCGACAGAAAACATGATCCGCCACCGTGCCTTGAGGTACGAATATCAGCATCCTCTAAAGAACTCGCAGCCCCGAAATCCGGGCGCTCCCCTCCTGCGCACTTCTGGGCGCTCTTGGGTCTTGGCGCCTGTCTTTCCCCTCCAAACATGGCCGTTTCGCTCAGACATCCTCATGCAGTTGCCCCCCCCCCGAGGGGGAACACAAAGGAGCCCCCGAGCCCTGGGGCTGCCCAGAGGCCCCCAAGAGGCGCCAAGAGGACCCCCACGAGGACCCCAAACGTCCCCAAGAGGCGCGCAAGACGCTTCAAGAGGCCCCCTAGAAGACAAGCGAGGCCCCCAAGAGGCTTCTGCAGGACCCCGAGAGGTTCCCAAGAGGCTCCAAAGCCACCCAAGAGTGGCCTCACCCCCACAACCGATCCAAGAGGCTCCCGACAGCCTCCCAGGGATCCCCACAGGACCCCACGAGGCCTCTGAACCACAGCCCATGCACGATGGCGGATGGGCCGAAGACCACTAGACCTGGGCCGGCACGGAAACGGAAAGAGCGCTTCAACAACTTGACCGAAATTACTCACACCACCGTTCGTACTGGGAGCCTTGGCGTTGAGAGCTCACCCCGCGCTCTTGGGAGCCTTGGTGTTCAGAGATTGTTGCGTTGCCGCCCGTTCCTGAGCCTTGGCTGGGCCTTGGTGTCAGGAACTTGTTACGGCATCGCTCCCTGCTGGGAGCCTTGGTCTTATCAGCTTGTTTACGTCACCGTTCGCTCTTGGGAGCCTTGGTGTGAAGAGCATTTTGCGTTACCGATCGCTCTTTAGTTGGCTTCTCTGAGCCTTCTTGGGAGTCCTATGGCGGCCCTTTTTGAGCCCCTTTGGGGTCCTCTTGGGGCTTCTTGGGGGGCTCTGAGGGCCTCCTGGGAGCGTCTTGGGGCGAAAGGCTAGACTGTCGGGTTCGTGGTCCCCCTCTTGGGGCCGTCTTGGGGCCCTCTTGGGCCGTCTTGAGCGCCTCTTGGGCCGTCTTGGGGCCCTCTTGGGCCGTTTTGGGGGCCTCTTGGGAGCCTCTTGGGCCGTCTTGGGGCGGTCTTGGGGGCCTCTTGGGCCGTCGTCAACGCCGTGAAAGCCGACAAAGCGCATATGCTAAAAACAAACGTTTTCCGGTGGAAAATCTATGATTTCGGCCTCTGGGGGCCCTCTAAGGACGCCCCTTGGGCGCCTCTTGGGGGCCTCTTGGGGGCCTCTTGGGCCGTCTTGGGCGGTCTTGGGCTCTCTTGGAGCGCTCTTGGGCCGTCTTGGGGGGGAACCCGAAAAACATGCCCAAACCCAAGGGATCTCCCGAAAACGGCCATTAACACGCAGGTGCGCACGCTACCCCCCTCCCCTGGAACCCCTCCCTTTAGGGCTTCGCCCACACCAGAACGTCATCACTCGTACCTCGCTCTTTCCGTTATCCACCACCCCTGTTGACTTATCACAAGGGTGATTGGCGTGCTAGACGTCTGGGGCTTCGGCACAGCGTGCCAGTCACCCAGAAGGCAACACAATCCGCCGAAAAAATTGCCCGAACGCGGCCAAGACGGCCTCCAAGTTCGCCCAATATTGCTTCCAAGACGGCCCACGAGGGTACACGATGCCTCCAAGTCCGCCCAAGAAGCCGCCAAGACGGCCTAAGATGGGCCCAAGATGGCCCAAGACGGGAGGCCCCCAAGAGGGCCTCCAGGAAGGCCCGAAGAGGCCATCATCATTGTTTGCCAATGGTTTTCGACGGATGTTATAAATTGCGTCTTTTCGTTCATCCGAAGGCCCGCAAGATCGCCCCAAGATCGCTCAAGGGCCTCCAAAGTGGCCCCAAAACGGCTCAAGAGGCCGCCAAGACGGCTCGAAGACGGCCCAAGATGCCTCCAAGACGCCCAAGATGGCCTCCGAGACGGCCCTGGAGCACCCCAAGAGGGCCCCAAGTCGGTTCACATATGCTATATGCCCTCCAGACGGCTTCCGACGGCGTCAGACCGTCCAGGAACGCCCTAATGCGGGCCAAGAGGCTCCCAAGAAGCCCACACAGGCCCCCAAGCACAGGCGGCCCCAAGAGTGCGCCCAGAGGCTCCCAAGATGCCCCCTTCTCACAGCGTCTTGGGGAGCATATGGTCAGATAGCTTGGCGGAGCTCTGGCCACAAAGTTCGGCCACATGGGCGGCTCCAAGAGGCAGGGGGGGGCGGTGATTCGCCGTAGGCGTCTTCGATCCGCCGATGCCTGGCGTGCTAGAATCGAAGGGACCTTCGGCGATTCACCGCCGTCCCCTGCCTTTTAGGATACACCGGTGTGGCCCGACGCTTGGCCAACGTGGGGGAAGAAAGAGGAGGATGAGGAGAGAAAACAATGGAGGAGAAGAAGAAAAAGAAAGAGGATGCCTCGTGGGAGCCAATTCGGGCACTCCTGAGGCCTCCTGTGAGCTTCCCGGGGGCCTCTTGGGGCCTCTTGGGGCCTCCTTGGCTCGGGGGCCTGTGGGGGCTTCTTGGGAGCCTCTTTGCCCGTCTGAAGGCGCTCCTGGCCAAAAAGACGCCGACGAAGACGTTTCCGGGGCCTCCCTGAACCGACTTGGGGCCCTCTTGGGATGATTCAGGGCTGTCCCGGAGGCTATGTTGGGCGTCTTGGAGGCCTCTGTGGCCGTCTTCGGGCCCTCTTGGGACCGTATTGGAGGCCCTTCTGGCCATTACGGGGCGGTCTCGGACGTCTCCTGGGCGATCTTAGGGCGATCCTGATGGCCTCTTGGGCCGTCTCGGGCTGTCGGAAACCCGACATGAAGCAAATGCCAAAATCCTTCAAACATCTGAAACAAGCAATGATTATTGCCTCCTGCAACATCTTGAAGACCTCTTGCAGCATCTTAGAGCATCTTAGAGCATATTGGAGCATCTTGGAAGCCCTTCCTGGAAGCCAGTTTGGAAACCTCGTGAAGCATCTTGGAGACCTCTTGGGCCCTCATGGGCCATGGGGCCATCTTTGAGCCATCTTGGGCCGTTTTGGTGGCTTCGTAGGCGAACTTTGAGGAGTCTTGAACCTTCTTAGGCCGTCTGGGAGGCCATCTTGGACAATCTTCGACGAACTTGGAGGCCTTATTGAGCCATCTTGGAGGCGATTGAACAACACACATCGGAAGATTGTGCGGCCTTCCGGGGCCGGCGCAATGGACCGAATCCCCAGAGGGAGTCGTACAACCTCAGCACACCGAGCACCCCTGTGGTTAGAAGGCAACTAATTACTCGGAGGTCTTCTTCGGAAAGCTTAATTAAGGAGGATTCAACCCTATCGGGGGGCTGCTACGCCGGATTAGGCCGCGGATCAAATGGGAGCAAGCCAAATTCAACGGGATCAAGCCGAATTATCCGGGATTAAACCGAATTAAACGGGATTAAGCCAGATTTCGGACCAGGGCAATAACAGAATTTGACCCCCCGTGAGTTGCATCCGAACTGTGGCAAGCCAACAGGGAGCGGCGGATCAGGAAACTTGTTTTTCTTTTAACCCCCCCTGGGGCTTCGGTCCATTACGCCGGCCACCCGGAAGACAGCACAATCCGAAACAAAACAAGCAATTGCTTCCAAGACGGCCAAGATGACCTCCAAATTCGCCCCAGATGGTCCAAGATGGTTTCCAAGCCTGCCCAAGGAGGTCCACGATTCCTCCAAGACGGCCCAAAATGCACACAAGACGGCTTCAGATGACCTCAAGATGGCCCAAGAGGCCCACAAGAGGCCTCCAAAACGTCCTGATAGGCCACCATGAGGATCCGCAGGGAGGCACGAAGATGCCCAAACCCTCTATTGTCCCTAGGTTTTGTGAAAGATGTTCGCTGTTGCTCCGTTTCGGGCTTCCGACGGCCCAAGACGGCCCAAGAGGCCCCCACGATCGCCCCGAGAGCGCCCAAGAGGCCTCCAAGATGGCCCCTGGACGGCCCAAGAGGCTCCCAGGACGGCACCCGAAGGGCCCCAAGACGGCCCAAGAAGCCCCCAAGACGCCCAAGATGGCCTTCAAGACGCCCAAGATGGCCCCCAAGATTGACCCAAGATCGCCTACGAGGCCCCCAAGATGGCCCCAGGACGGCCCAAGAGGCTCCCAAGACGGCCCCCGAAGGGCCCAAGCTGGTCCAAGAGGACCGAGGAGGCCCACAAGAGGACCCCAGGACGCTCCCAGGAAGCCACCAGGACGCCCCAAGTGGGCCCCAACAGGCCTCCCATTATTTCTCCTTCTCCTCCTCCTCCTCGTCCTCCTTCTCTTTCCTCTACCACTCCCTGATGTTCCCTCGAAGGGTTCCACAACGGCTGGGGGAACAATTAGTCCAATAGCCTCGCCAGACTTTCGACGTCAGGGGACGGCGGTGATTCGCCGCAGGCGCCTTCGATCCGCTGCCCTCTGTGATCTGTCCATAGGGGTAGTCGACGTGCTGGAAGTTTTACTGCGTGGACCCCCCGAAAAAATCCAAAAGCCGTCGGCTCAGCCCGCCGGACACGCGGAAGGAACCATAACATCGGTCACGTTGGTCTCATGATGGCCCCAAAGACGGTCAAGAGCACCTCCAACGCGGTCCCAAGACAACTCCACGACCGCCCCAAGAGGGTCCAAGATGCCACCACGACGGTCCAAAATTAATCAGAAACAGCCAAGACGCCCTCCATCAAGACGGCCAAAGAGGCCCCCAAGTTGCACCCAAGAGGGCTCCAAGATGACCTCGATGCTCCTCTAATTGTTCAATAGTTTTGTTTGCGCTCTCACCCTGTATAGCTTCCGACGGCCGAAGACGGCCCCAGAGGCCACCAAAATAGCCCCGGAAGCCCCAACCAGGGCCCCAAGATGGGTCAAGAGAGCCCCAAGACGGCTCACAAGAAGCCCCTTAGAAGCCCCCTAGAAGCCCCCAAAGGCCTCCGAGAGGCCCCAGGAGGCTCCCAACATGCCCCTTAGAGGCCCTCAAGAGGCTCCCAAGAAGCCCACAGGAAGCTCCAAGGAGGGCCGGAAGAGGCCTTCTCTTCCTCCTCCTCCTCCTTCTCCTCCTCCTTCTCCTCCTATTTGTTCATCGTTTCTCCATCTGTTCACCTCAGGGTCTCCACACCGGCTGGTGCATCACATAGTCCAATAGCTTGGCAAGACTTTGGCCTGACGTTCGGCCACATCGGCGGTTCCAAGAAGACTCGGGGCGGCGGTGATTCGCCGTAATCCGGCACGCCTGCAATCAACCAGCTGCGCAGATCGGGCGCCCCAATCTCTCTGCAGGAAAGGCGCACAAGAAACGGGCGCAGGTGCGGACCGTCAACGAAAACGGTATGAAACCCTTCCAAACCAAACCTTTCGCAATCGAATGCGCACGGCCACGAACGGTGTTCCGTAAGGACGGGCCGTTCCTACCGTGAAAGGTCTGGTTGGGGCCTCCTTCACGCCTCTGCAGGGTAGAATTGGCCGTGGGTGGTGAACGGTATCCGAGGGAAGGGCCCCGCCTCCGACACCAGCTCCATTGTCTGCGCGTCCACTCCGAGGAGGTAGGAGTTTCCAGTTGCACCTTCCAGAGCGGTGAAAATCAATACGCCCTCGTCTTCCGCTGCACCTACCCTATCCGACGGGACCATGGTCGCCTCGGACGGGTACCAGTTTTCGCGCCGCCATGCAAGTTTCTTCCCTCCACCACCACCACAAATGTCGTGCTTGACGATCGCCATGTCTGCGTAGGCGTTTGATGTCGCGAACCACTCCACGGCCCAATAAAAACAGTGCTCCTTGGCACGGAAGCCGGGGTTGACGCATGGAAAATCAGTCGAGGTGTCTGGGTCGCTGATTACCTCGCTGCGCACAGGCTGATCGTCGTTCAAGGGGATGACAAAACGTTTCACCAAATTCTTGCCACCGACAGCCCCGAGGTCCCGCGTGCCCTTATCCCTGGAAGCCGCCAAGGTAAGGTCGGCGGCGAATGGGTTCTTGGGACAGGTTGTAAGATCGATGACGATTGCGCCCTCGCGTTCGAATGCGTTGACAGTGTGTACGTACCACAAGGGCTGGTCCGTAGGCAGCTGCCTCACCCACGCCTTGGAGCCGTCCAGCGGCACGATGTGGAACCCGTTCTCGGGCCCCTCCTCTGTCAGGTCCAGTTCCTGGAAGGCATCAGCCATGGGCTTCGTGGCAACGTCTGTGGCGCTGAACTTGACGGGCATCCTAGGCAGGACGACATAGTTCTCTGTCAGGCCGAAGGAGTGCATGTAGGGCGCTGTTTCAAAATCCAGATCGGCGATGCTGCGGCGGAAGTCAGGCTGCTGCTCTCCCAACCTGAAGAGCCGCAGAGTCGTGTCCCCGGTCAGCATGTTCTTGACGTTGCCGACGAAGTCAATCCAGTCGCCTGTCTTGGCGTCGCGGAGCGGGTGCGCAGATCCAGTGTAGCAAACCAGGCCCTTCAAGTCGTCCTTGAACTCTTTTTCTTTCAACACCCTCATCGTCTTCGGGTCCACCACCAGCATCGCGTAGGAGTCTGTCAGCGACAATATCTCGTCTCCAAGGCGGATTGTATTGACGTAGGTGTTGTCGTTGGGCGCGAAGGGCGGCATATTTGCTACTGGGCCCAAGTACCAGGGCGTCTCGCGCGGAGGCTCCGTCTCGAAGAAGAGCAGCCCTGCACCGATGGTCCCCGCCTGCCTGGATTCGTTGTAAAAGCCGCTCTCCATCATCCGGTACGTGGCGCACACCTTGTCGCCCCGGATGTCGAAGCGGTGCATCTTGCCGTAGCAGTCGAGGAAGCCGACAAACTTCCTGTCGCCCATCTCGAACTGCCCGATGCTCGGCATGACGAAGTCCCCGGTGGCGTAGGCCGGAAAGGGCTTGGAGGCCGCCACGCACCGCTCCGAAAACTCCTCCGAGGCCGTCTCGAAGAGCAGGTCGTACCCGACATCCTCGCTCACGGAAGCGTCTGCGCCCTGGCGCAAGGCCGTGCGTGTCCTCGCTCTTGGCGTGACACCTCTCTCCTTGACAGCTTTGGAGGCCTCCCAAGCGGGGTCCGAGCAGATGGGGTCGGAGGATTGCACCTCACCGCCGGTACATCGGCGATGCATCGGCGACGTCGGCGACGCATCGGCGCCGTCGGCGTAGAGAAAATCGGGCTCCACATCGAGCCGCATCGCTGGAACCATCGGCGCTGCGGCGCGGCCCCTCGACCCCGCCCGCTCGGGCCCCGCTCTGGAGGCCCGGAGACTTCCGCTCCGCCGCCGAGGCCCGGGCGCGCGGCAGACGGGCGCCACAGCGGGCGGCATGCCGCCGTGCTGCAGCCCAGCCACGACACCCCGCCGCCGCCGACCAGCGCCAGCACGGCCGCGCCGCACGCGCGCCTGCGCGGGGGCGCGGCGCCCGCAGGCCCGCGGGGCCGGAGCCGGGGTGCCATCGCGGCTGGCGCGGAGGAGCGAGGAGTGGCGAGGAGGAGCGAGGTGGAGGAGGGAGGGGGTGAGAGAGGGTGGATGGGAGGAGGGAGGGACGAATGGGGGGTGGTCGAAAAGGAGAGGAATGAGAAAGAGGATGGAGGAGGAGGTGGAGGAGGCTGGGCGGAACCGTCCCTGGTGTCCAAACTCGGCGGCGCGCCTGGGGGGGAACCCTGAGACCTGGGCGGGGTCGTTTGTTCATGCAGTCGGGGTTCATTGGAGAGGACACGCGAGAGGACACGAGACCCTTCCGATGGCCACAGGACCAGTGGAGCATAGAGGGCATGGGTCGCGAAACAGAGGACACAAGGGTACCCTTGTTTGGGCAGGGTCGACCTACTAATCAAGCTCGACTGTACCGGCGATCTCGCCCGGCCTCGGATCCCAGGACCCTCACAGATCGACTCGGTTCGAAACATGGCGCAAGAAGATGGGGACCAGGGTTCCGGTCGCGATGCGATGCTGCATTTCTGACACTACGTCGGATCTCAGGGACGACACAATGGTGGGCCTTCCCAGAAGGCTCAGAGGGCCTACGGCCCTCTGAGAAACCTCTTCCGAAGACACGGTCGGCTGGCTTCTCAAGGGCCGAAGGGCTTCTGAGACACCCCGCCGCCTTCTGGCAAGGCCTGCCTCCTTTCATTTCCCACCTGGGCGCGCCGCCGAGATACAGTCCTGTTGGGAAATGTCGGAACGGGGCACGGGGGGCGCCAGAGAGCTCAAAGCCAAGGGCCAAAGATATGCATGCCCCGATGGTTTCTGCTCTGATGTATTTTGTCTGAGGTCAGGGCTAGCGGGAACTAGCAGCTACATGAACATGCACTTTTGGAGGTCCGACCGATGTTCCTGGATCGGCGCTGCCTCCCTGGCGCGCGGAGCGCGCTAAGGCGCTAAGGGCGGCGCCGAAAGCTGCTCGGGGGGCCCAGCGCCGACCCAAGAAACCAGCGCGAACCTCCGAAAGTTGTATGGGTCTGCAAACTATCTACTCTTATCTTTCGAATGCCACTAGACGAAACCAGGACGAAGAAAGTATCGGATCCGGACAAATCGGCGATCTCTGAGTTCCAGCGGTTCTGGAAAATGTATCATGCGCCGCGGCCTTCTCATGTTGTCCGGGAACGCTCTGGAACGAAGCGTCCATTTCCTGAGCCCCGCACGATGGCGTGCGCCGCCTAATTACGCCGCCGCCGGACCTCGACGTCCTCGACGTCCCACTGGCGTTTGCTCCGTGGTAAGGAGTAACCACTGGCCCATGGTGGGCACCGCTCGCCGGCTGGCGCTCCAAAGGCGCACGGGCCTTTCCGACTCAGATGTGTATACATGTGTATATATATATACATACAAACATACGCACGTATAAACATTATCTGTAATCTATGTGTAGTGGAAGCTGCATGGCGCAAGCATGTCTGGTGCAAGCTGACTGGTGCCAGCTTCGTGGAGCAAGTTGTGTGGTGACATATTTGCGGTGCAAGCTACGTGGCAAAAACTATGTAGTGCACCTGCGCGGCCACCCAGTGCACGAGGCGCCCACGAGGCGCTCACAAGCGCCAACGGGCGGGCGCCGCGCCAACGGGCGCGCAGCAGGCGAAACCTCGGCACACCCACCCAGCGCACGACGTGCCAACGAAACGCACACGAGGCGCCCACGAGCGGGCACCAGGCGAAATCCAGGCAGCGCGCGAGGCGCCCACGGGCGGACACCTGACGAAACCTCTGCACACCCACCCCGCGCACGGGGCGTCCACTAGGCGCCCACGAACGGACACCAGGCCAAACCTCGGCGCAACCACCCAGCACACGAGGCGCCAACGAGCGTCCACGGGCGGGCATTGACAAACCTCGGCGCACCCACGCAAAACGAGTCGTCCACGCCTAAGTGCAAGCACTGTTTGGAGAATGACAAAAACTCGGGGTATCTTGGGGAGCGCTGCAAGCGTTTTGTAACCTTCTGGGGCCGCTTCCAGCAAGATAGAAGGCCTGCCGTTTTGGGAACGTGGGCCTAGAAGGCCTCGACGTCAGGCATCAGTGGTCCCGTTGTAGAAACTGGGAGTGAATATGCAGCCAAATTTCCTCGTGAAGTCTATCCAAAAAGCACTGGGATTTTGCTAATCGCTGCCTGGCGTAGCTTGATTCGCAAAAACCCGATGGTTTTTGATGGCCATGTAACGGGCGAGGACTGTCTCGTAGCTTTTGCTGGAGGTCGCTCAGGCAGTTGGGACGCATCGGCAGAGCTGGAGGTGACAGGTGAGCCGTGGATGCCTCGCAGAGAGGATCCGGGTGAAGGACCTCAGGGAAGGACCTCTTAGGGGCTTGTGGACGCCTGTCGGGGATCTGTTCGGGTGGCCTTGGGGCGTTGTGGGGGTTGTCCCAGAACTTGTGGGGGTCGTGTGAGAAGCGTGGAGGGGTCTTGAGGTTCTCTTGGGAATTAGGGGAGCCTCTTTGGATGTTCATGGGTGCCTCCTGGCGCCTCCTGGGGGGCCTGTGGGAGAGCTCTTGACACGCTGTGGGAGTTTTCTGGGGGGTATATTGGGGAGCGCTGCAGGCGTTGTGCAACCTCCTGGGACCGATTCCATGAAGATGTAGGTTGGGAGTCCCCTCGGGACCAGATTTGTTGAGGATGTCTCTAGCGACACGGGCGCTGTGAAAGTCCTCTGGGTTGGTCGCGGTAGTGGTCGCTGTGGTGGCGTTGTTGATGCTGTTTGTCGCAGTCGTGGTCGTTGGGCTGGTGCTGGTCGAAGCCGTAGTCGTGCTGCTGCCTTGTTCGCTGTAGTGGTCGTGCCGGTGTTGCTCGTGCTGCTGTTGGAAGCTGTCGTGGATGCAGTCGTGGTCGTGGTCGTGGTTATGCTGGTCGCAGTCGTGATCGGACCGTTGGTCTCAGTCGACGTTGCTGTTGTAGTGCTGGTGCTGCGGCTGGTGGCAGCCGTGGCCATCCTGTTGGAACTGGTCGGGGCCGTGGGCGTGCTTCAGATGGTCTATGTAGTGGTCGTGGCGCTGCTCCCGTTGCTGCTGCGGGTTGCTGTCGTGGTCCTGGGGCCTCCTGGCGCCTCCTGGGGGCCTCTTGGAGAGCTCTGGAAACGCTCTGGGAGTCCTCTGGGTGGTATCTTCGGGTTCACCGCAAGCGTTTCATATCCCTCTGGGACGGATTCCAGCAAAAAGCAGGCTGGGGGTCCCTCCGGGGCCGACTTTTGGAGCATGTCTCTAGCATAACGAGCGCTGTGGGAGTCCTCTGGCTTCGAATACCTCTGTCTGGCAGGCAAAAAAAAATCCGCCGACCCTGTCGGCGTGTGTGGGGTGTCTGTCTGGTCCCGTCGACGGTGAGCCTTCTTTCGTCCCCTCCTTCCAATCCTCCTCTCCAGTCGGGGGAGAGAGAGAGAGAGAGAGAGAGAGAGAAAGAGAAAACACCCTTTCTCTCTCGGGGAACGGATTCGCAGCTTGCTTGAGGAAATTCCCACGTCCTCAGTACGTCAAAAGGGAAGCCTCTTCCCTATGACCCTTCCCCGGCGGGGGGGGGTTCTTGGGGGGGGTCAGATTCGCATCGCCTCTGGGGGTCCTCCTCTCCCACGCCAGTCCTTCTCCGGCGCGCCGGTCCTCCTCGGGTCCTCCTCCCCGGGTGGGGAGGAGTCCCAGGGGAGGGGAGGGGAATCAGATGTGCATCCGTTCCTGGAGGTCCTCCTCCCCCTCCCCTCCCCTCTCCTCTCCCACGCCGGTCCTCCTCTGGTCCTCCACCCCAGGGGGGGGGGTCCCAGGGGGAAGTCCTGTTCCTCCTCCTTCTCTCCTCCTCCTCCTCCTTCTCCTCCTTCTCCTCCTCCTCCTCCTCCGTCTCCTCCTCCTTATCTCTGCCTCCTCCTCCTTTTCTTCCTCCTCCCCCTCCTGGTCGTCGTCGATGTCTTTCAAGGTCGGCGGCACCAGGCGTCAGGCCTTCACAATCTGGGATCGATTTCGAAGGGGTTCGGGAAGCGTTTCGGAGGGATTCGGCTGTGGGAGGGCGAGGAGGGTGAGACAAGCGAATGCTCCCTGCCCGCCTCCCTCGCTCCCTCTCCTCCCACATGTTCCTCTGGCCTGAGATGATGTGTCCTCAGGAAATCGGGTCGTGGACGCCCAGGGCGTTCACGAGACCAGCTTTCCATCCCAAGTCGTCTCATGGCAGCCCCTGGCGCCAAGGCAGGGCCCCTGAGAGAGAACACGGGGAGACAATGCAGGACTCGTTTCCCTCAAGGCCCCTTTTCTCCATAATGCTTTCTCTCCTCCCAAGATCAATCGGCATCGAATCGGGAACTCCAATCGAATCGGGCCGTTCGCCAAATGGGGGTGCATACACACGAATCATAATTCGAATCGCATGGACAAGAACGCCATGCCAGCCTGGGATATCGGAAAAACACTTTCGGAATCTCGGAATCGATATCGAACCGCATCCATCGGATCAAGATACGGCAGGTTCGTGTCGTGCCGACCCCAGCGTTGGTTTTTGACACCGCAGGGATTGTTCAACCTTGAACGATCGGCCGCTGCCGCAACGTCCGATCGTTCAACATCGATCGATTCTGGGTCGCCGGCGGCGCTCAACCTTGAACGCCCGCGCTGGGGTCGCCGCTGGTCGACACGACGCAAACCTACCGTAGGCCCCGTCCTCCCCCCCCGCCTTCAGTCTGCCAAACCGCTGCACCAGAGCAACAGCAGGGGGGCGGAGAGGGGGTGCGGTGCCTGGGCCTCGTCACCGCCCTCCTCCTTGGAGATCCTGGAGTCCAGCGAGTCGTGGCCTCCGGGGGCCACCGGGGACGGGCACCTGGAGACCTTCTGAAGTCGTCCTGTGTTCTGGGCCGCCCTCTCGTGCATCGAGCCTCGCGATGCGCGGTTCGCTTCGCGCCCCCTCGGGCGACCTGGGCTTGTTTTTTGTGACGGGCCAATTTCGGGCACCACGCGCGGCCGCGGGGACTCAGTGCAAGCGAATATGGAACCAGAGCTTGCACAAAGTCGGATCGAATCGGAACGAGCGGCGGATCGGGCTGCGTCGGCACGGGATCGAAATCGAATCGGATCGGCTGCGGCTGCGCCAAGACACGCAACAACGCCATGCAAACATCGAGCTGCATCACAACGTCGGAATATCGGAATCGAGTCGGATCGACTTGGCCAGAATCGATATCGAACAACATCCGTCCGATCGAAACCGTCATTGGCCCTGACGTGGGCCCCGTGTTGCTCGACATGCTGGGGAACGCGTTGTATCGTTACGAGTCGTCTCATGATGGTAATGGGGTCTAGGAGGGTTGCCGTGACGTGGCATCGAGAAAAAAATGTCGTCGTGTTTGTCCCCAACCGTCGTGTGATGGGTCCTGCACTTGAACAGAAAACTGTTGTCTCTTTTTCTCCCGCTCACTCCTTCCTCCCCAGCCTGCCTCCTTCCTGTCTCGTCCCATTCTGCACATTATGGTTGCCCCGCAGCTTCCTCACCAACAAGCGCAATTGGACGTGGTCACCATTTCAACTGCCGCCGCAGTGTTGCGACCCGAGCGGCCCAGCGCAATGGTGAGACACCTGCAGCGACCAGGACGACCACCATCGTAATACGCACCCTCGCAAGCGAAACCCTTCACGGTAAACGCGACCGGGGGAAGAATCGAACGGGGCAGGACTGCCAGGTAGACCACGAGTGCCGCTTAGTACGCCCAGCTATTGGAGATCGGGTGGTTCCCACAATCTTCAGACTGTGACTTTGACGTATTTGAAGGGGCCCAGGGACACACACACACACAAAACACAGACAAATAAACGGATTCCCCATATTTTCCCATATCTCCTGGGTTGTCTTCCCCCCACACGTCCTATACTTTCAAAATTTCCTTGGGGGTCGTCGATTGATCGTGACTGTGTTTGTCCCTTCCTGAGTATTGTCGAATAGCCGCAGTGCGATGCCCCAGGGCGGTGGGTGAGTTGCTCAGAGTGGGGTGGGCGTCAGACCCCAAAATGCCACATGGGGCCGGGCAGAAAGAGCGGATAGACCTCCGCCCAGACACACGGGGGCCGATCCCCGAATAGCACTAAAAGCGGTGGGATAGCGGTGTGTGAGGGGCAAAGGGATGACTTCGATGCCCTTTTTACCTGGTGGCGGAATTGGTGGCCTTGACGCAAGGCCCCAGCCACTCCCAGGAACTTGATGCCCCCCCTTTTCGATGGGAGCGGCTCACCACGGAAGGGAAGCAGAGATCTAGACGCGCCGGAGGGGGGATCCCGAGGCCCCCACCGGACGCTGCTAGCGTTGAGGCCCACCCCCACACCTTGACATTTCGCCTCGCTCTTGAAGGACCGCCGCCCCGCCCTATCGCACCGCGCTGGGGCACCAGGGATCTGGTGAGTTGGACCTCAGCTCCTCCGAAAGCCCAATGACGAGGAGCGTAAACGCCCACTTCGTGTCCCTGTTCGCTGCGTAAGCGTTCCCCGAATTGTTCGTCGAGCCCGTCTTCTTGAAGTTCGCCTTCTGGATGAGCTGCCCGGGCCTCGGGAACAGCTTCGCGCGGGAAATCGTGACCGGAAGGTCCAGCGCCGCGATGACCCCGTTCGGGTCGTCTGCCATGGCCCGCGCCCGCGTGTGCGATAAATCCCGTCTGTACCTCCAGCGCGTGCAATCGAGCCCCCTGCATGCTGCCGATCGACGGCGCGCCCCGGCCGCCCATCCAAGGGCCCCTCCCGCAACGGTCGCGTCCGAGCAAAAGTGCCCCGAGATCTCGATTCTACACTTAATGGGCGCTCCTACCTTCTGCGCGCTTGCCAGTCGCTTGCCCACCCATGTCAGCGCGAGCCTTGTCGCCCACGACAAGGAGGCCCTCTCATCGTTCGCCCTTGCAACGCTGGCAAGCCGCGCGAGCGCCGGCCCCAGGGGCGTCGGCGCCCGAGCAAGGGCCACTGTTGCGAAACCCAGGAGCCGCACGTCTTTTGCCATCGCGCTCACGCGGGCGGCGCCGCACTCGACAGTTTCCTGGACACAGGCCGCTGCCCGCGCCGCCGCCCCCGCCTCCGAGAGGCCCGCGTGGCGAGCGGCGCAGTCGCATGGGGCGCCGACCCAGTCCACCTCGAGGCCGCACCGCGTCTTGATCCTCTGCGCCAGGAAGCCGAAGACGCCGAAGAGGGCGACCGCGAAGAACATTGCCACTCGCCCGCGTCGCCCCGCTCCGATCGCCGCTGGGTCGTCGGCGCGGGTGAACCCTTCGACGGGCCTGGGCCAGCTGCCCCCCAACAGGCTATCTCGCCAGCCATTCTGAAGCGCTGGGCATGCCGCAGGTGCCGGCGGTCACGCAATCGATCCCGCCCCTCGAACTCGCGCGCCAGCGCGCCCCGCTCGTCCTCGCGCCCCTCGGCAAGCCGATTCGCCCCCTTGACATCGGTGACGACTGAGAAGGTGACGTGGCGCTGGTCCACGTAATGACCCAACGCGTTGTTATTCTCCTCGGGTCTCGGCATTATCTGTCTGCTCCTGCGTCGGGCCCCGCGGCGCGCGCCGTCGTGCACGACTCGCATCTGCTCTTTGCACATCCCCCTCATCATTCTGCCCGTCTGCGCCTCGTCGGCAAGGCGGTCTCGGGGCCAGTCGCCGTGGACTTTCATGCTGCTGTAAATGGCCGCTTCTGTGGGCACTTGGTCACCCCGTGGTCGAGGCGCCACTTCGCGAGCTCCTCGAAGGGCTCTCCTTGCCGGGGTATCTCCGACAGGCTGCCCGCTGCGACCCCAGTTTCCAGCTCCTCCGCCACCTCTGCGTCTGGGAAGCGCCGCCAGCAGACTTCTGCGATGCCGGACGGGCGCCTTTGCGCCGCCGACTTGAACGGAGCGTTCTGCGGCGCCCCCACCGCCCGCTGCATCTGCGACCCCTTCGAAGGGCTCCGTCTTCTGCGCGGGTCCAGTTCAGGGACTTCCGACGTAATGTCTGGAACCCAGCAGCCAAGCGATACGAGGCCCGCGCCGATGCGAAGCCTCTCGGACCCTCAATGCATTCCAGCAGCGCAGCGGCCCTGCGCCTCCAAATTGCCGCATGGGCCGCGCGGGCGCGCGCCCCGACGCGCCCCGCCATGCTGCGATGAGGGCGTTCGCGCGGCTGCCGGGGGCAGGTCGCAGCGGCGCCCAGGGGTGGCGCAGTCGAGCTGAGAGGGCGCCTCGAGCAGATCGGGCCTCGACGGGCGCCAATTCGCGAAGATCGTCATGGCGGCCTTTGCGCCGTAGGGCGCGACGGCGAAGGATTGCCCCACTTGCGCGCCAGGATGTCGTCGCTGCCGCCCCCGACGTAGATGTCGGCCTTGCCGAGCGGGCCGCTCTGCGCGAGGTTGGGCCCCCGTGGGCCCCCCTGGCGCGATGCGGCCACTTCGCCGCGCTGCCGATGCACTGCGCCGCCCACTCGCACATCTGCGGGATGGCCGCGGCGCCCGCGGTCTTAGACGCGGCGTCGCCCAGCCTTCGCCCCAATGATTTGGACCCTGCGGGCGGTGGTAGCAGCGGCCCGAAGCGCGCGCCCCTCGCGTCGAACTGCGGCCTCCCGCCGCGGAGCCGCGGGTCGGCAGTCAGTCTTGGAACGCGAGACCGAGACCGATGGAGCGCGCCGGCTTCGGGCGCGGCGCACCGACGGAGCTCTGGTGGAGGGTCGTTGCGCGCGCGCCATCGAGGTCGAGGAGCGCGCCCACCGCTGGAAGCTGCCACTTGCTGGCGGGGCGCTGACCGCGGAGGTCGCCCGCCTGGGCGGCGCCGAGGTCCTCGGTCCGCTCCAGGAGGTCAATCACTTGCCCGCTGCTCCTCAGCTGGGCCTTGAGCGCGCGGAGGGCGAAGCCTGCGACGTGCAATGGTCGGGCGCCTGGGGCCCTAATCCCCCGTCGGCCCTCTTGCCCGGGGAAATGCCTCGCACCGGGCGCGGGCATCCGGCGGCCTACCGACGCAGCTCGTGACCGGAGGCTGCAGGGCGGCGAGACGGCGAGCGCGCCCCGCTCGCCTGCTGCCAGCCGCCTGAGGCCGTCGTCCTGCAGCGCTGCATTGGAGGGAGCGGCGCCACCTGGCCCGTCCAGGCCCGCGCGCGAACGGAGCGACGTCCGCCCGTCGCTGCAGCCCCAAAGAGCGGCGGAGCACCCTCAGCTGCAGCTTCGCCCTGCGGCCCGCCCCCTCGGCCCAGGGGCGCCTGGTTCCTGTCCCTCTTCTGTGGCGCTCCTGGCTGTGTCGCGCGGCGATGCGTCTCGCCCCCCGGCTTCGACAGCGGTCGCCGGGATGAGCTCGCTGGCTGGGGCCCCGACCAAAGGGGTCGCGCGGCGCCCCGTCCGCCGCCGGCGCCCTCCTCCGAGGGTGGCGCCTCGCCCCCCCCCCCGCCAGCGCGCAGGCGCGGCCCTCGCCCCGCGGGGTCGCGCGGGGGCCCGCCGCCGCCCGCCGCGAGAAAGTTGCCCGCTGCGCCCCGCGGGGCGCGCGGCTGCCCCGGCGGGGGGCTCTGGCGCGAGGTCGCGGCCGCTCGGGGTCGCCAGGCCCGGGTCTGCCAGCGGCGGCAGCGAAGGGGGCCCTCGCCCGCCGCTGCCACCGTCGCCGCGACGGCGTCAGCGCCGCTCGCCGCCGCTGCACAGCGGCGTCGGCAGCGGCCGCTCGCCCCCCAAGCCGCCACCTGATCGTCGGCGGCGCCGCGGCAGTTCCCGAGAGAGCCTCGCCCCGCGAGTCTGCCCCGCGAGCTGGCTCGTGGCCCTGCGCGAAGCAGAGCGAGCGCGCGCGGAAAAAAAAAACATGTACTTTTCTGGGTCGCACTTCC